GTAGTAGTAGTAGTAGCAGTAGTTAGTAGTTAGTAGTTAGTAAAGTACTAGTAAAGTAGTAGTAGTAGCAGTAGTTAGTAGTTAGTAGTTAGCAAAGTACTAGTAAAGTAGTAGTAGTAGTAGTAGTAGGAGGATTAGAAGTAGAAGTAGCTGTAGAATGAAAAGTCGAATAGACAGAACGTAAGTAGAAGAAATAGTCTGTTAAAGCTCTGGAGTAATTGTACCAAGACCATAGAACTTTATGAACCATGTGCTTCTATCTCAGCCGTGCGGGATGAGATGTGAACCTCGTTTAGAGTTGTGGGTTTGGGGTTTGGGTTATCATCCTAAATGAGGGCTCAGAGCAGCTTGTGATAATCAACCTAATGTCACCGAAACACAAACCGCGGCTGTGAGACTGCATGTTGTAGTAGGCAGCCCAAGGGACGAACTTTCGACCAGGTGTGCACGAAGGAGGACTGATGCCAGGGCTCACTGGAGCAATCGCTGGATCCCAGCAGCGACCTCGAGCATGCTGACAAAGAAAACTCACAAATAACCCTAAACCCTCCCGACAACGGGCGCCTGAGCTTTCCCCGAAACTCGACCCACATCCGAAACTGAGAAACCGTTGAGCCCTAAGCCAATGGAAAGTCGAAAAAAACAAAACTCTTGCAGGCAGGGATGGGTCTGATCGAGCCTGCACTGGCTTGCAGAAACTACTTTGAAAGGCGGCCTCTACTTGAGAACAAAGCTCGGCACATGCACAGACACTGCAGAGGGCATAGGCCTGCCAGCATCGCGCTTGCCTTAGGCTAGATGCAAGCAGCGAAGTCGAAGTTGTGTTTCCTGGTCTCAAGGCATTCCATCCTTTCTGTACATTCGCACATTACACACTTGATCACAAGACACGCCCCACATTTGGAAGTGCAGTTTGGATTTTGGGACTTCATTGATGCATCGCGAGAACATTTCAAGCCTAAGTACCTGGCCTTGCTTTTTGGAGCAAGACAGTGTGATCAACACACGTTTCGACATGTGGTAATGGTCTCTTTGCTGTTGGCCCACCAACGTAGACATCAACTTTAAGTTCAGAGTTCAACTAAAAACCTCTCTCTCTCTCTCTCTCTCCTATTCAATCACCGGTCAGCCGCGACGCAAAACACAGGCAGTAAAAACACATAGCCCTGGATATAACCAGCATTCAAGGTAGCGAAAACCCTAGTAGCAGGGAGAAACAGTCTTTACACATGCTAAGAACAACAGTACTGGTCAGCCTGTTGGGGCTCCGGAGTTTGAGGTTACGCTTTGAGGGGTAGATATCTTCATTGCCCTGGGAACTCAACGATTAGAGCCCAAACCGTGGTCGCAGAAAAGACGAGGTCGCTGGGTAGCCTTTTAAGGCCTAAGCCGTGTGCCTGCACCCTATATACCTTCAGCCTTACACACCATAGAACCTACAACTGAGGTAATATTGGAGCCTTTCAATTTAAATTAGAATAGGGTTTCGGAGTGTATGCTACAATACGTCTAAGGAGAACCTCTTAAGGAATAATCGTAGGAATCATTCCGACCTCTACGTTGCCCTAAAACCCTAAACTCTAAGCCCTAAACCCTTCTGAAGCAGTGGAGCCACGAACCGCTTCGCGGAAAACCAGGGAGGCGGAATCGACTGGGGAGCGTGCAGACCTGAGCGCCCAGGGCTGGTTTCAAAACATAATTTCTGAAAGCTTCGTTTTAACTAAGGGTTTCATAAGGTTTACCTTGCCTTTTTGAATTGGGTTTCATAAGGGGCTTAGTATACGGGCCCGCATTCTCGCAGCTGTAAGGTGGATCATTGCGGGAGTCTCGTGCGGAAGGCCCAGGATCGAAGGTCTAACGACATTCCAAGGAGCACATATGAGCACTGTCGACATGTGGATGTTGATGAAGAGTGATGAGAGTATTGTTGCCGTGGCAGGAGTAACGGTGACATGCGGCGACAAACATGATGATGATGATGACATGATGCTGAGAGAACTGCGCTGTCATTCTTATCGGTCTTCGAAACCAAGTATCATCCCGATTCTTAAGTCGAAACTCCTAGGTGTCAGGTAGAGATCTTTCATTACAGCGAATCCAAGAAAGTTGGAACATGGGTTTGGGGTCATTTGTGCTAGGATCCCTTATACAAAAAGTGCAGGAGGACCAGGATGTTCCAACTTTCTGGCTTCTACTTTAGGTCCTCACAATTTAGTACGGATTCTACCTTATATACGGGTTCCCAGGCACGAAACCCAAGACCACGAGCTGCTGAACAAAAGTCAACATCTGGATTCAGGGTCTTGTTATTCTGGGTTTAGGGTTACAGGCTCGCAACGGGTTTCGATTTTCCTTTTCGGGTTCAGCACGTTGCCACGCATCATTGTCCATAAACTTTCTAGGGCAAAGCGGGATAGTGTCCAAGCGCAACTAAGCGTAGCCGATGGCGAGCTGAGCTCATTCTCCCGTCTAGACTTGGACATTGACCAATCCACCACTTTGGTCATGATTCTCAGAGCTTAGCGGCAAAGGTGTGGCAAAACCAGGTGTACTTCAATGTCTGGTTCCACAGACACTTGCTAGGTAATAGCCTGGGCCCTGGCGAGACGTCTACCTCCGCAGCCTCCTCCGCATGCCACCAAACCTGCAAACGAAGGGGAGCTGTTGTACAGTTTATGGCTTCCGGTTGCTTTGACGGTCTAGTAGGATGCAGGTAGGGTGTGCTGCCCTGTTTCGAGGGGTCAGGAGCCCTAAAAATCAAATCTCACCTTTCTCCGGCCTCGCGACGGAAGGTTGGGTGCACCCACCAAGCATTGAAGTAGCCACCTTCCCGTCCTGGGGCTTAGGGGTTTGGGTTTAGGATCCGGTCCTTAGGTATGCTAAATCAGGAGATCCTCCGCGTAAGATCCTCAACCAAATCCAAATCCTCTTACCTAGAACCTGGAACTTGAACAGTGGCCATGCTCTCGTCCGAAACCCGCCATTGTCTGGAGGACGGCGACTTGTGCTTACTTTCCCAGCTTCTCTCAGGCTTTGCTGGACATCAAGTATGAGATTGGGAAGGCTAGGAGCTGTCATAAGGATCTTGGGTAGGATCCTCGTTATAGGGACCCTGATTGAGGTATCCGTGATTATACGAAAACCCCTAAATGAGCGCGTCGAAGGCTAAGGCAGCTCGGGTGCGAAGGAGATTGGCGTCTTCCTCCGACTGCGGCTGAAAGCCTGATCAGCTGTTCCAGATCAAAGCTGCCACAGAAACTCAAACCTAGGCTTGATCCAGTTCCCACTATAGAGTTCTTATATACTAAACTACTACCGGACAGATTCGTTCAGAAACTGAGCTTCGTGATCTTGGTAGTCATGGTCGAACAGCCATTATCGTGATTCCATGGACCCCTTATTGAACATTGCGCCTGCATATATTGGTTTGCTAACGGGCTCCAGTAATCCGATCACCAAAAGTGAAGACACTGGGCAACATGATACAAGTGAGAAGTTGACAGTTCCTGTAATTGCATCATTGCATGATATGGTTCAGACAACTACACGGTGCATCAAAGAGGGCCATTAGCCGAGCCCACAGGTTGAACTTCCTGATTCTCTCAGCTCATGACTGTTTCTGGCTATACGAGACGTTAGCGTTTCTCGCTAGTACGCCGACAAAGCGTGATCCCCCCCCCACTGCTGCATGATTTGGGGTCTAAGTAGCTGCAGCCATCGATTGGTTGCTTCCTTCCAGATAACAAAAATCACTATCTGCATATATAGATATATATTTATTTATATTTTTTCTTATATATATATATTATTGTTATTATTATTATGTCTATATATATATATATATGTGTGTGTGTGTGTCTGAATGTATATATATATATTACGTGAACAACAGTCACGCATATCAACGAACTCGTACATGAAACATGATTATGTGACCAGGTCGTGCTGTCAGCTTTGGCAGGCTTCCGAGCAGAGCCACAGCAGATCAAACAGTCTCAAGTGCCATCTCCGCTCAGTGCTCCGAATTGACATCAGCTTAAACTTCAAACCTTGGCCTACTTGTCAAGGTAAGGCACCCATCTTTGGATCGGGCAGCACGATGAAGCCTCAAACACCAAAGTTACAGCAGGCTCGGCGTCTAGGGCCAGGGCATAGCAGTTGGAGCATAGACTTCAGAGTTGGGTGTTTGGGGCTTAGAGTGATTCAGGGTTCAGCGGAAACCCACGCCTCTTCTCGAAATCCCAGACTCGCGCCTAAACCGTACCTGGACCCTAAAGAAACTACCTTTTCATGGGTCCTCATTATGATCTCCTGATATAAACCCTTAAAAGGTAGGTTGGTAAACGGTTCAAGTAAACCCTGCAGCCGCACCGAAATCCCCGAACCGGGGGTCGAAGAGGCATGCTCGAACCTTTAAACCCCAAACCTCCCCAAAGAGCCCACTACCGGGTACTGCGGGAATCTGCCTTAAACTCAACCATGCGGTTAAGCATGTATGTGAGATAAAGACTTCTAGTATAATTACATGTAGGAAAATGTAGAGTTACTTGTGAGATGGGTACAGAATGTATAACTACATGGGCGAAGAAGGCAAAATTAGAGCACAGCTACATGTACGTACAAAAAGGTATGTATGTACGTCTACAGGTAAATAAATAGATAGATAGATAGAAAGACAAAGAGATAGATACCTATCTACATAAGTATCTCTCTCTCTCTCTGTATATATGTGTGTGGTTACAGTGTAGTTGTGGTATAATTGCAAGGGGCGGACACCTAGCACCCGAAGGACTCCAGAGCCTGCTCAGCCCTACGGAACTGCGCCTGGTAGAAACAAGGGCACTCAATAAAGAGGGTTAAGGGTTTAGGGGTCAATATAGGTTTAGAAGCTAGGTACTACTATAATACTATACGGGGCGCTTATTAATTGATAGGAGTCGAGATTTTGGTGTGTATTGTAGTACGAACTATGTCCGGACTACGGCGGGCTATTACTCTCATTGTCACATTGTTCAAGATCTTTCATGATCGGAATATGTCGAGTACAGCGCTGATTCTGCACATGCTGCCCTATCGCATGTTCTATTTTGTGCGTCGACAAGCGTCCACTCTCGAGAGCATCATCTTATCAAGCTGGAGTTCTCGGCTATCAAGTTTCTCGGAGTCTGCAGCACACACTCGCATGTGTCTGTCACCAGCTGGTGCTCCGAGCATTCTCAAATTCTCTGTTGTCCCATAACCAACTACCAAAAAAAAACACTAAACCTTAACCCTCTAAAGTATCGAGAAAGTCTCAAGCCTTCAACCCTACTAAACCCGCAAGCCTATAAAGTACTGAAGCTAGAGACAAGCGCATCTGAGACACTCTCGGTGGCGAGCACGAAACGCTTGAGGAGGTCGGGCCCCAATTTCCGGTAAAGCCCTCAGGGACTCGAGGGTTCAGGGATTCTTTGAAGCAAGATCTATGGTGCTGTAATTGGGGTACCTCTAGGGTGGAGACTAAGGCGGAGAGGGAAAGGTTCTGGTTTTGCGGCTGATCTGGGGCTGGCTCCTGTTGCAGGCTTAGGCGTTACATCCGAGCTGCCAGTGTTTGGGGTTTTGGGCTGGGATCACCCGCGAAGTTCGCTGCGGGCACTCTGGTGGTGCAGAGTTCGAATTTTGAGACTGTAGCAGCATAACAGGGCTTGGGTTGTGAAGGCTGGGCGCCAGCGGTGGCTCAAGATTTATGTAGGACCTTTCCCTTCTGCCTTGCCTGTGGACATACTCACTTTCTGGCGCTCCCCGAAACCCTAAGCCCTGAAGGATTCTCAGCATAGGGAACGTGGAACTTTGACCCGCAAGGCTCGGCATGTGGTGGTGAGGCATGTCTCGAAAGTTGGTATTAAGTCATATAATAATGATAATCATAATAATAATCTCAGTAATAATCGTAGCAGGGTCACACGAGGTTGTTAATCATACAACAGGCCGATCTAGTCAGGAACTGGGCGTAGGGTTTAGGGGTTACCTGGACCCTGAAGAACCCACCTTTTTATGGGTTCGATATTATGATGATTTCTTCATAGAAATCCTTAAAACAAGTAGGTTATTCGAAGCTAAGGTAAGGGTTTAGGGATCTGCTCAGGTCGCTTGATGCTTTCTAGCTCCGCAGGTTTCTCGAGATGTAGGGACACTTGTCTTTGGCTTGGGGAATGCGGCTTCGATGTAGAGGCTTTGGGTAGCCCCATATTAGCTTGTCATTATCAATGCTATGAATATGGTCGTTACTAAAGCGAAATAATTTAGGTTGGAATTGCCCAGGGAACTTAACCCCTGCAGAGACACTGAAGTGCATCCGAGAAGCGAATCAGCGCAGAGGTGCCATTGAACTCGCCGACTGTAAAATTCCTCAAACAAGATGAAAACCCCACGTCCCCAAGAAGAGAACCCGGCGCGGAAGTCCATGTGCACTTATCCTCATCCTTGTGGCTCCTGGGGCCTTTTCGTGAGGGCTGGTTTGCTTCAGAGAAGCACCCCTAAACCCTAAACCCCCAAACCTTAAACCCTAAACCAGACTCACAAAGCTGGCAAGCCATCCGTGGCTACGGCTCTCTGAGATCTGGCAGCTCGGGGGGATCAGGTGTCCCACGTCTTCGAAAGTTCCAGCTCACAGCAAATAGCGCCGGGTTAGTGCGCTAGCGTGTGCATGTATATATCTACATACATTACATTACATTACATTACATTACATTACATTACATTGCATTACATTGCATTACATTACATTACACTACACTACATTACATTACATTACATTACATAGCATAGCATAACATAACATAACATAACATAACATAACATAACATAACATAACATAACATACATACATACATACATACATACATACATACATACATATGGATTAACATGCATATGTATGTATATATATATATAGACATATATACATATTAGCTATGTATTTGTATGTGTATATACATAT